GCCCCGCCCGCTAGCGGCCAGCTCGCGGCCCCGCCCCGTCCGCACCGATGGTCTTAATGACCGCTTCCTGGAACATGCGCTCCTCGTGTTCCTTGATGATCTTGGTGCCCAGGCTCAGGGCCCCGTCGTAGCTCCCGGTCAGCGCGTAGTCGATGCTGAGCCGCAGCTGCCGCAGCAGAGTGTTGAACATCTCCAGCACCGTGGGCCCTGAGTGAGGGGGGGGGGCACCCGAAGTCGCCACTGGCGCCCGCGCCCTGCGCCGCCCACCACCTTCCTGCCGACTTCTACCGAGAACCGACCGACACCTCCCTCCTGCCCCTGGCCTTCCCACAAGGGCAGATCTTGTCCCCGGGGGCCCCGCCCTCGCTCGGGCTCTCAGGGCTCCTTACCGACTGAGCCGGTGGCTGCGATAACCGCAGCTTCCGACAGGACCTCCACGATGCCCGCGCGCACGGTCGCCGCGCTGCGGCTGTTGGCGTCCAGGTGGCTCAGGAGCTGCTGGATAACCAGGTGCGAGTGCTGCGGCTGGGGGGAGGAAGACGTGCTGGTCCCCAGACAGCAGCCCTGGGTGACCCGGGCAACCCTCTCCTGTGCCCCGGAGGCTGGGGTAAACTAAAGTGAAGCTAGAGTGACGTCCCAAGGCCGGTGGGTGGACACCGCAGGTGGCAACGATATTTCTTGTAGCCCTCCCATCCTGGGCCGGCAAGACAGAGCCAAATCCTAGTGAAGACCTGCTTTCCCCCGTTTTTCCTACTTAAAACGGGCCGAAAGTCCATTTTAAAATACTGTCTTCGTTTTCATTCTAACCTGTCCCCAGGTCTTATTAGGGCCACGAGAGGGCACAGTGCTGCTCGAAGTGTGGACCACGGACCAGTGCCAACTCAAGATCGGTTTAACAGCATGTACGAGCTAAGTACAGAAATGGACAGGAAGTGGAGTGGTCACAGCGGCCAACAGTGTGGTCTGTGGGCTCCCATTTGTGGTGAGATTTTCATTTTTTTCTAGGAATTTTTCTTTTCTTTTTCTTTTTTCTTTTTTCTTTTTTTCAGCACTAGGATTGGATCCAGGGCGCTCTACCACTGAGCTACATCCCCAGCCCTTTTTACTTTTTATTTCGAGACAGGTTGCTAAGTTCCCCAGGATGGCCTTGAATTTGGGATCTTCCTGCCTCAGCCTCCTGAGTCACTGAGATTACAAGAATGATTCAGCTTTTTCTTTTGTGTTTTATAAAAATTTTGGGCTATGATCTTCTAGAAATAAAATTCAACTGGCCCTTCTCCACAGCTAGCTGAAGCAGCACTGACTTAGACCAAGTATGGCCTTAGGAGAAGTCAGAAGGCATCTGGCTTTCCACTGTTCTGCTCCCAGAGCTGCCCTGGGCCAGGGGGACAAGCTGGACCCGGGGAGCCACCGTACCTGAATTGAGTACATGATGATTTTAAAGCAACGGATGGCGAACACCTTGGGTTCCCAAAGAGAATGGTTATCCAGATGGCTGTGAGGGAGAAAGCATGGGGGAATGACTGGGAAACTCAAAGTGATGTTAGGAAGGAGAGGCAAGCTTGGAGGGACAGTGACACCTCCTGAGAGCACCTTGCAGTTCCCAGGTAAGTGAGGCTGGGCTTACAGGAAAATGGAATTTGTCCACGGTGTGCACGGTTTGGCCCCGCAGGCCCTGAGAGCAGGGATCATGGAGGACCTTGGGGGTAGTTCTAGCCCCAGAGCTAGAGGGAAGTCCAGGACAGGGCTCTGCAACTGGACACATGGAATGAAGCTGGGCACCTTCATTCAGTTTGGGGTGCCCTCCTACCAACACCTCACCCCAAACTGCACCTGTTGTTATAATGCAGGGATCACAGGCAAAAAAAAAAGGAACTGACGTGGCCATGGCACCACAACTGTGCTCTCTTCTTCCCTCCTCCCTGTGTCAGTGGGGAGGTGCTGGGTCCTGGAACATTCCAAGGCTGCAGGTTGGGGTGGGCGGAACACTCAACTCACATGAGAACAGGCTTGATGGCATTTTTGATATTGCCAAAGGCAGCCCGGCCCAGCAGCTCCCGCAGGCACCGCTCAGCCAGTTCTGCTGGGTTCTCCTTTTCCTTCTCTGGTGCTTGGAGGGGAGAGGGAGACCGGCTGTGGAAACAAGAGCCACAGGGGTAACGGATGGGATGCTAAACTGGGAGCCAGGCTTTGTGCAATGGTGACAGCAAAATGAGCAGGAATTCATTTGACAGGCTGCACCAGGCAACAGGGAGATGTCATAGCCGTCAGAAATTAAACGGGGTAAGGAAACTGGGGGAGATGGGATAGAGTTCTCTTTTGGAAACCCTTAAGGATAAGTTGGGGTGGCTGTGGGAGGGTGTTCTAAGCATCGTGGGCTGAGAGAGGTGTGGACCACGAGGGTCTCATGCGCTTAAGGCTTCAGCAGGAAAAAAAGAGGAGATAAGAAGAGAGGGAAGGGAGGGAGAGAGAAAAGTGAAAGAGGAAAAGAAGAGAGGGAAGGGCATGAACTGGCTTCCGACTCAGTGGTACCCAAGTCTCAGGGAGTAGGCTCAGATCTGGATAGATCAAGGAGCCCCAGGACTACCCACCCTTAGCCTGTCAGAGAGGGGCTATTCCAGAAATGACCACCAGAGGGAACACTTACTTCTCCCGCCCCTCTAGCATCCAAGGCTCCACCAAGAAAGTGAGAAGCCAAGTGCACATCTTTCCCTAGGATCATGCACACAGCCATGTTGGACAGCAACACAAACCTTCCCTCCATCCCATTCCATATCAGGGGTGCAGGGTTGGGGGGATGAGGGGCAGGGAAAGGAATGAATTCCATATTATGGGCTCCAAGTTTAAAATCCAATTATCTGCAAACTTTTTTTTTTTTTTGAGTGGCTATGGCTGATCAGGCAGCATTTTTAAAAAATTGGTGCAGTCTAGGTGTACATAATTATGGGATTTGTTGTTCCATATTCGTACACGCACACAATATAACAATATAATTTGGCTGGCATCACTCCCTAGCCTGTCCCCCTCCCTCCCCACCTGTAAGCAGCATGATTTAAGGCCCTAAATAGCATCAGGAAGTGAGAGAGGAAGGAAGGTCCAAAGGGAAAGTCCTCAGTAATTGGAGCCATGAAAGGCATTTTAATCCTCCTTGGCCTGCTGCTTCCAGAGACAAAAGAGTAACCTGACTCTTGGTCCTTTGTGACTCTTGGTCCTTTTATACACACACTTACCCCTAGGGAGCCCAGCGCCATTGCTCTGTCTCCTTCATTATTGCAGAGGTGAAGGGGTACAGCACCTGGCAGAATGCCAGACCCAAGGCTCCTGGGGAGCTGGGTTGGGACTTAGTGTAGAGAAGTCACAAAACCATGGGTTTCCCAGTCACCCGGGAGGCAGCTCTGGGGGGCTGGTCAGCTTACCTCTCTGCCTCCTCCACATGCTGCAGATTGAAAAGCAGTGACGGGACAATCTTGTCCATGTGCTGCGGGTCCCAGATATTGGCCTGCAATTCATCATTCACTGTCTTCCTCACCACCCCTTGCAGACCTTTGATGCCTGACATCCGGATTCTGCAAGGAAAGGTAGAATGGGACCTTGAAGTCCCCCTCCCCTGAGAAGCACAGTTCAAAGGTTAAGGGGACACTCCACCATTCAAAGGCAGAGGGAGACCACTTGCTGTTCCTCACGTGACCTGACCTGCAGGCGGGTTTCTGGTGCAGGAAGCCACGCCTTCTGGCTTTGTCTTGGAGACTCCCAGACTGCCCTTGCCCTGCGGCCATCAGGGCTGCATCCCAGACCCTTCTGGGTAGTACTCAGGTGGGTTTGCTCCAGATAGAGAGCTCAAAGTGCTTGGGAGAACTCATGAGGCAGAATCCAGGACTGGAAAACTCAGGGCAGGGAGGTGGATCTGTAGGGAGAGGCACTGAACTGCAGGCTGTCTGGGCACCAAGAAACTGTGGCTGGGACTAGGCTGACCAAGAAACCAGACAGGAAATCCAGTAAAGCACAAAGGTGGGGGGGTGCGGGGTGCCCTTTGGCACATCCCCAGACCCTGCTGTAATGGCCCTGTGGAGAGGAGTGCTTTTCACTGCCCACTTATCTCACCCTGAAGTTCCTTTTTTTTAAATAATATATTTTTTCTGATTATAAAGTAATAATTGTTATCATACTAATTATAAAAAAATAGTTGTAATTATACTAATTATAAAAAAGAAAAATTTACCCCTAACAACCATTGTTAGCATTTGGGCATCTTTTCTTTCTTCCATGCATAGTTTATAACGTAATTAAGAACTGATGACATAGTTAATCAGTATTGGCTTTTTTTCCATATAACATTTGGTTATAAGCACTTTCCTATATCATTAATTCTTCATAAATAGGTTGAATGGTTAGACTATCATAAGAACTTTCAAAAGTAGGCTCCCATATGGCATTTAGTTATTTCCGATTTCTTTTGCTATTATCATGCTATGATGGACATTGTCATATAAAATATTTGATTGCTTTCTGAATCACAAGAGACGAAAGGCTCCCAGTACTGCCCCCACGCACAAGCGGCAGCCTCTCGCTGTCCCCCTGGCAGCACCGGGGATCTCATTTTAAACATCTGTTCTCATTTTATGGCTCTGAAAAATCCTCACATCCTGTAGCTCTTTTAGTTCTCACCCTTTAGTTTGGCGGGTGGTAGTGAACTCCACGCAGCTCAGGGTACTAAGAAACTGTGGCTGGGAGCTGGGGCCGTGGCTCGGTGGTACAGTGCCCGCCTCGACCCAGTGAGGCACTGGGTTTGATCCTCAGCACCACATAAATAAAGATATTGTGTCCATCTACAATTAAAAAATATAAAAAGGGATTGTGGCTGGGACTAGATTCACATCTACCTGATGATTATTAGAGTTGAGCCATTTCTCCAGAAGATTAGTTGCCAGTTGTATTTTCAACTTCACTTTTAAGTGGAGTTACCAGGGTGGAACCCTGGCACTTACTGGTGACAGTCATTGTGGGATGGCAGGAGCCTAACAGCACCAGGATCCCTGGGCCCAGGACCTGTTAGGGCTGCTGGCCACAGGCAAGGATTCCCTGGGGAAACGCTTGGCCGCTCTGTCCCCCTCCCCCATTTAAGACCCTGTGCCAGAGGCTGTCCAAACCTGAGAAGGAGCCAACTAAATCCTGTTCCACTTCCTATTTTTGGTCCCAGGTTAAAAGCTCTCCTGAATGCTCAGCTGAAGCCCATCCCAAACGTGCAGACGCAGGATGCCACAGAACACTTAGGGTCTTCAGTGCCTCGCCAGACGTGTCTTCTCTAGCAGCTGCCACTCCCCCTGTCCACACTGCTCAGGAAGGGGCCTGAAGACCAGGAAAGGGACTCCTAGCCAAAGCGACCAGCTCAATCAATCAAGTCTACACTGGCCCAAAGGGAGCATCTCCATCTACACTAGGCCAGGGGGAGTGAGTCTCCTTCTACAATGGCTCAAGGAAAATGAGTCCCTGTCTACACTGGCGAAAGGTAAGTGAGTGCCTACCATGAACAGGAGAGGGAGGCACAGTGGTCCAGACCTTGGGGAGGAAAGATGGCAGCTGGGCTCCTGCTCTTGCCCTGAGGTCTCCCCTTCTCTTTATTTAGTTATTTATTTGTTTTAGTCGTAGATGAGCACAGTACCTTTATTTTATTTGTTTTTATTTTTTTAGCGGTGACAGGGATGGAACCCAGTGCCCCGTGCATGCTAGGCAAGCGCTCTACCGCTGAGGCACAGCTCCAGACGCTGTAACATCAATTTTATTATACAATTTGTGAGAAACAGAAATGTATTAAGAACCATTTCTACTCTCCCAGAAACAAGGGAGAAAGGACAGAGGAGAGCAGGACAGGGGAAGTGTCCCAGGGAAAGGAGTGTCTGATGTCTCTTGCAGGAGGGGGCGGAGGAGACTCCTGGTGGATCCAAATGCGCTCCCGGCTAGAATCTGTGCGGAGAAGCCCGAGCCCGTGGGCACGACCTGGCTCCTGCAGCTGTTTGAGGCCCTGCCCGAGCGATACCCGTGCCATGATGTCAGGATCCACAGAGCTCAGAATCTTCTGGATGCCCACTGGTGTTGTCGGCCTCAGCCCTGCGTTTTCATTGGAACCACTTCTTTTTCTGAATGCCGGCCTGCAAAAAGCATGGCACGAGACACCACAGTTGTTGAATGGATGTGGCAGTCCTCCTGGAGACTCCTTTCCAGTCCTTGCTGTTGTCATGGGATTGCCCTGTGGAGGTACCTTGGGAGGCTGTGCCGCCTTCTGCTGTGACTCACCTACTGAGGATGGTCCTGGGGGACACAGGGTCCCACTGGGAGGAGGGGTCCTCGCACACAGGAAGCAGAGATGAATGGTAGGCAAGCTGGCACTTCCACCGCCCTTCTGCCCTGGGCTTCCCCAGTAGCTGGGCTCACAGGGCAAGGGGAGGTGGGGAGGGCTGGTCCACTGGTACTCTTCTTTGGGCAGGCATTGGAAAGGTCCACGGGGCCTGGCCTGATCCCCCGACTCACTTCATCTGGAACTTGCAGCCGGCTCCCCGGGTTGTCTGGCGCTGGAGTATCAGATACATAGCTATCACCTTTTCCTATTTTCTATTTGCCAGGGAAACTCAGGTCGTAACTGAAACCCAGGTCAAGCATGATTTCACAATTACGGGGTCTGAGTGTTTGGGGAGTGGCTCTCTAGAATGATTGGGTGAATATTCCTCACCCAGGTGCCCCAGTATCTGCTCTACTGCGGGCCTCTGTGTGGAGTCCACCATTAGCGTTTGATTGACGAGGTTCTGTGTGTCTCGGAAATGTGTGGGGGAAGGTAGTATCTGGACTGCACCATCTGCTCCTTTAGCTGCTTGGCAGTGGCCGCCACAAATGGGCGTCCCCCTGTGACCATAAAATGTAGAACGACATCCAAGCTCCAGATGCCCATGGGTGGGGGTGGCTGCCCTCATATTCATTCCAGTGGATGACTTCGGGGGCAACGTACAGGAGAGCGCCCCAGATCTCGTTCAGCTTCTGCCCCACCGCGAACCTGGTGCTCAGGCCAAAGTTGATGAGTTTGATGTTGCCTCTGGCGTCTACCAGGATGACCTTGCTTTCAGGTCTAGGTTCGTGATTCCCTTCTTGTGGCCGTAGCACAGGACACAATCTGCCCCAACAGTCTCCAGGCCTCCTCTTCTTTCTCCATGCCACTGGGCTTTGGGATGGGGTGCTGTCGCTGTCCCCCACCTGCATACTCCATGACGATGTAGATATTTTCAATGGTCTCAATGCCCTGAAAGAGCTGGATCACATATTGGTGTTCCGTGGCCATCATCGTATCCAGTTCAGATAGGACGGGGATGTTCCGCTCCACAGGACTTTCACCACCACCTCTGTCCCGGGGAGGAGACAGCAGGCTAATTCAGTCGGGGCGAAACCACCCTGCCAGGTGATCCTCAGGACCCGACGATGGTCCGTGTAGGTGGTCTCCTTGCGGGAGCGGGTGCCTACAGCTACATTACTCTGACTACTCTTACTGCATATCCTCAGCTAAGGATGCTAGCTTAAAAAAAAAAATAACAAAACCCAGAACCAAGCAAAATAAAAACCCCAAATCAAAAAACCAACATCCAAAGACCACAACCACCAACCACTAAACGCGCTAACTATCTAAGAGTCTGACAGGTGGCCACCAAATGCTTCCTGCACTGAGGGACAAAAACCCAGCCGCAGCCAGCCTCTGCTGTACTCCAGTGTTTGAGTTGCCCTCAACGGCTCCTTGTGAGGTCAGAGCAAGAAATGGCCCATTCACGCCTGGGGATCACCCCCGTGGTCCACTCCCTCTTGGGCTTCCAAAACCTTTTCCACTTTCATAATAAGAAAGGGCTCCAGACGCTTTTGGGTTCAGTGGGTTATGGAGGCTGACATTGACTTGTTTAGAAATTAAAATTTGTACAATACTTAAAAATGTGCAGGACTCATTTGTCCCAACCAAGGGGACCTTGCCACTGCCACCCAGGACTGAGAATGAGGAGGAAAAGGGACACAGGGAGGACCCAGGAAAGAGATGAAGCCAGAGGACCCCCCATTCTCATCCAGTGGCCTTCCCGTCATGGGTGACAGGCTCCCGTCTGTGGGTGCTAACGGCAGTGACAGTCAAACTTCCTGTCTTCCACCTTCCCATCACCTGCTCTGTGGCCTTGCTTTGCTTTTGCAGTATTGGGGACAAACCTACAGCGTCACAGGTTCCAGGCAAGTGTCCTTACCCCAAGTTACATTCCCAGCCCAGTGACACCTGCTTCAGGACACACTCCAGCCTCTTCTGCCCTTTCATAGCTGTCGGGAGTCGGGGGCTACTCAGGAAGTGGGGTTCCCCCTCCTGTACCCCTGCTTGCCTCAGAGGCACTGGGCAGCACAGCCCAGGGAGTCCGTGCCTGGTTGGTTCAAGAGAAGACTCCGGGACCGAGAAGGTCCAGAAGCTGCGCTGTGGGCATTCTGGGGCCTACCTGGGACTCTTCACGTTGTCTCCAACAGCTAGAGGGGCTGGGTTCCTGTCCTTCCAACCCACACCATTAGCTGTCATAAGGGGGCATACTCAGTTAAGTGACACTTGGGACCCCTCTAAGTTGCTACCATGTCAAAGGAACCACCTGAGAATCAGCCTCCTCTTGGCACACTGGCCATGTGACCCCTTCAGCCCCAGCCGTGGACGCCCCCAGCCCTCCACAGCTCTGGTTGCTATGGGGCCTGGCCTTCCCCTCCCCCCTTCTCCTGTCCCCTCCAGTGTCACACAGTCTGCAGGAGCTGATAACATGCTCTGTGGACAGCAACCTATCATTCTTCTGCACTTACAGTTCCAAGGACTATGCTTGCCACAAAATACCCATTCACTGCTCTGCCACACATGTACTGATTCATCAGCCTGACTGTAGGTCACACTTCATTTGTTTTTAGTGGTAGATGGACATAATACTTTTATTTTTATGTGGTGCTGAGAATCCAACCCAGTGCCTCACACATGCCAGGCAAGCGCTCTGCCACTGAGCCACAACCGCAGCCTCAAGGCTACTCTTTAAATACCCATGTCAGCAGCATTTATTTTAGTTTCTTTGTGATTTTATTTGCAATGTTTTCACTTCTGTGTCAATGAATGTATTTCTGTGAGACTATAAATTTGGGTACATGGACATACATGTGTATTTTGTAATTTGAGCTGGGGTGGCACATGCCTGTAATCCCAGCAACTCCAGAGGCTGAGGCAGAAGGATCATGAGTTTGAGGCCAGCCTCAACAACTCAATGAGCCCTTATCTCAAGATAAAAAATAAAAAGGGCTGCAGATGTAGCTCAGTGGTAGAGTGACCCTGAGTTCAATTGCCAGTATGTATATATATATATATATAAAATGTCTATCTGACCGCATCCACGCACTCAGCCATCCACTCAACAAATACATATGCAATGTCTGCTGCTCTGGAGCACCATATAGCACTTGGATGGCATCAGTGAACCAAAGGACTCCTGTCCTCGAGAGCTTACGTTCCAGTGGGGAGAGACGGACAACAAATAAGACACACAGTAAAGAAATTAAGAAACATGTCAAAAGGGCATGAGCACTGTGGGGGGACCAGAGCAGGGTGTGGGGAGGGGAGCAGGCGTGTGGCAGGCTGGGGACAGCAAGCAAAGGCTGGACAGAGCAGAAGTGGCGAGCCCTGCAGAGCCGGGAGGAAGTCTTCTCGCCTGGGCACAGCACAGGGGAGGGCAAGCCCTGGGGCAGGATGTCCCTGAGGGAAGTGAGGGCATGGGGTATCCAGGCAGTGGAGTGGGCTTGGGCCTCTGTTGTGGGCATAGACGCGGCTGGACAATGGGCAGGCTGCTTCGAGAGTATATAAAAGCATGTGCTCTGAACAAAGGAGCGATGGAAGGGATGTTCTGTTCCCTCAAATGGGGCTCAAGGGACGTTATCTTCTATTCAGCCCTGTTTGCTGGCCGAGTAGGTTTTTCCTTCAGAACCAAGTGGTAGAAGCTCGGTGCTGCCCACCTGCCCACCTGCCCACCTATGGTCCAGCCAGGTGCTCTTTCCTCCCAGCGACACCAGAGCACAAGGAAAGGCAAAGAAAGCTGCCAAGCAGACCCCCCGGAAGCTCTCCAGCACCCTGGATGCTTCTGCCCGGGCCCAGCAGCCCCTGGCCCTCCGCACTCACTTGGTCTTGATTTCCAAGTCATCGTGGCTGGAGTGGCACATTTCACTGAATCGGGACACAAAGAAGTCATAACTCCGGTGGTAGGATGGGGTGTCCTCCTCGATGTTGGCAAACTTCACAAACTAGCGGGACAGAGGGAGAGAACGTGTGTGAGAGGTGACAGCCCCGCCCCTCACTGCGGGGTATCCCCAGACCCTGCTGTATGGTAAGCCATGGACCCCGCCTGGGGACCAGCTCCTGTCTCCTCTGGAGCACCGTGGAGCACACTTGGGGATCTGCTGCAATCCTGCTCAGCGTTCCTGTCTACAGCGGGCTGGAAACAGTGACACTGCTTGGGTCTTCCCCAGGGGGGACGAGAGGACGCGTGCTCTCCCACAGGGGCTGGCAGGCATGATCCTGACACTGAGCCCAAGCTAAGGCACACAGCACCAGTGACGGGGGCGGGGGGGGGGCGGCAAAAGCAAAATTGGAAATCTGATGTAAAAATGCAGTTACATTTTATTTTTGAAAATCTGAGTAAATGTTTAAAGTTTTCCATTCTCAGTTTAGTAAATCTTGATCAGCTGGATTCTCCTGTGCTGCCTATTTAAGTTCCTATTTACAATTCTAAATAGGAATTTAATTTCAACTGAGCCCTGCAGAGAAGCAAGTATCATGGACTAAATGGAGGTAAATTATGAAAAATTTAATAGAATTCTTACAAGTTATTTTGTTTAATGCTAGAAATTTAGTACCTCAAGTATCTCTAAAAAGATTAGATTTATAGGGGCTGGGGCTATAGCTCAGGGGTAGAGTGCTTGTCTAACACATTCGAGGCACTGGGTTCCATCCTCAGCACCACATAAAAATAAAGATATTGTGTCCATCTACAACTAAAAAATAAATTTAAAAAAGATTGTATTTACAATAAATTATATTCTCCATTATTTTGCCATGTATTATTATTTAATTCTTCCATTTTTGCCAATAAACAATGTACTGTTTTTCCTAAACGTATCTACTTTAATGCACTTACACAATATTAACTGTTTATTGGCAGTCTGTATACTTATTTAACTACTTCAAAGTTGTTAACCTGGGTGCAATGGCACACACCTGTAATCCTAGATACTTGGAAGCTGGGGCAGGAGGATTGTAAGTTGGAGGCCAGCCTGGACAACTTAGTGAGATCCTGTCTCAATGTAAAATTTTAAATAAAGGGAAGGGATATGCTAAGTAGTAGAGTGCTTGCTTAGCAATATCCCCAGCTGCCATAAGAAAAAAAAGTTGTTACCTTTTTCTGAATGAAAAGGAGCAACTTCCATGAACATCACTCATCTGTTACAATGTTTGTTCTTGCAGTGGTAAATGTGCAGTTATTTCCTGCTGACTTTCAACATACAGATAAGGGGATCCCCTCCTTCCAAGCTACATCTAAAATGCATACCTGAGAATGAGTGTTCCGATATTAGCAATAAGTACAAATGACAAGGCTGCATTATTGATGTGGGGATGCAGAAGAACCACCTGATAATCCATGTGATCACAGCACCGGTGGTCCTATGGAGCTTCCAGAGCTCCAGAAAGAAGGTCCCCTAGACTGCACGGCCTCCTGATCCCCTAGGTTAGGCCACAGACCTGGGAAATACCAAGGCTGAGTTGGGCTTGGCTGAAGGTAAGTTTGAGTGCATCTAAACCACGGACAGGATGATCCCAGGCGACCCACTCACAGCCAAAGGCTGGCCCAGTTAGGGTGACCGTTGACACCAAGGGGACATGGCGCTCTCCAGGGTTCTAACTGCAGGTCTGTCTATCTCTTAACTGGAAGTGGGAACTTTGGGACATTTGACTTCTTTTCATATTTTGGTTTTCCCATGTGTAAAACAGGCAGTCCAGGCTTCACTCATGTTCTTTATTTTAAGGCTTTTATGGTCTGTCTACTTCAAATATGATGAGGCAGCTTAAAAATCAGACTTCCTGTGGGTGGAAGGTGCACACACTTTAGGAAAAAAAAAATTAAAAAGAGGACAATAATAAAGGGAGGAAAAAGAGCCAAATTAAGACTTGGTCCCCACTGTGTGGTGACGATGTAGTCTCAAGAATACACCAGGAGAATGCATGACCAAATTTCTTGTTCACTAATTTGGGAGTTTAAAACTTATAGACTGTCAGGAGCTGCCCTAAGCATTTCACCTACATCATCTCTTTTATTTTATTTCTCAAAACAACTCTCTAAGTCAGAGAGAGATTACTCTTTTCATTTCACAGACAAAGAGACAGACCCATAAAAGCAGCCCCAGGCCTGAGGTCTCACCACGCAGCTGTCCAACCTCAGCCTCTCCGGCAGGAACACCCTGTTTTAAAGGTATATTTAATGTTTTGTTTTACAGGGCTGAGCTGCATCCCCAGCCCCAAGGCATGCCTGATGTTTTAATGTATACACACATTGACATAATCACCACAGTCAAGCTGATTAATGCACCACTTACCCTAGGGACCACTTTCTCTCCTTCTCCTTCCCTTCTGCCCCCTTCCTTTTCTCTTTCCCTCAATGCCTCCCTCCCTTC